TTTTACCAAAAATCGACTACAACAAAATTTCTAGGGGAAAACACTTTTTCTTATTAATTTAGGTGCGTAGAATCCAAAACAATTTGTACTTTTTCGATCAGACTTCTCAATCCAAAGTTATAGACTAGAAACCAATTTCGAAAAAAAATTCACAAAGGGCTGTAACTTGTGAACTAGTAGCCCAATCTGGTGGTGAATCCGTCCTAACAAGATTTGCGGGATCCTTAAATTAATGAATCCAATTGTTAGAGACTAAAAAAATATAGATGATGGCAATTAAAGTTCCATGCGTTCTCAACTAACGCCTGAGCTGTTTATTGCAGCACAAAAAAGAAAAAAGGAGGATGAAGGGCGACAATTGACAACGAAAGAGCATTACGCCGACAAAATACGCGCTAAAATTCCGTGGGTCAAATTCCAACAATAGATGGAATCGTCTATTAAACTGCTTTACAAAAGTTACGGGGATCATTCAACAAAATATACCGTGAGCTTTTGCACCCGTCTACGAGGCAATACTCCGCCTGCCGGGAGAATTCTTTGCCAGCAGCCCGCATGAGTTTGATACGACACTCTAGGTATGTAGAAGTGCAGTAAGCTACCTGTAAATTGGCGCAGGGTGTTATTCAAATTCGCATTGATACAGAAAAAAGGTTTGAGCAAAACACCTGTAAATTACCGCAGGGTGGACTTTGCTAGAGCTAGTCGTTAGTTGATTTACTTAAGTTTAAAAAAAATCTCTTCATGATTCGGTAGCTTTATTAGAAGGCCTATTGCGTGGTTTCACTCCTGAATATGCCCAAAAAAACCTTTCCCGGATTCATACCTACTTTTCATACTTTTACAAGCACGCCTTCAAAATGACTGCTTACTCAGAAACCTATGGCAGAACCCTCAGCGTAAGCGGTTTGCAGGCTTCCCCGCGAAACGGATCCAATTCGTCAGAAACTGACACGTAGAACCCATGAATCTGACCTTATCTCCCGTCAGAGTGGCCTCGCGCAATTAATCGGCTAGTACGGTATCGGAAAAGAATAGAGCGACCCAATTTATTGAGCAGTAACAATTGACGCAACAACAATCGAGTAACAATGTTTTAATTTAATCACTCCAGTGGACCGTACGTACTTTGAAGGGGGAAAAATTGCATGTAGTGTATTGGAAAGAGCCCAACTTTGAGGAGGGTCAATCAGAACATTTTCGAGACTTGCGTTAAATAACACTCGAAGGTTTTCAAGGGTCAACGAAAAGAAGGATTTACGGTCATACAGAAATTTCAGCGCCTTTAAGTCCTTTTGTGAGTACACGTTTTTAAGGGCTGGAAATATCGTAATGAACTAAATCCTAATGGAACCGTTGAGGCGCGATTTAAAGACCATACGTAACGTTTGCGCCGGAGATTGCGCGAAAATTGTTGTACACGGGGCCAACGAGGGTAATTCTCAATCCGCGCATAAATCACGTAAACACATTATCGGATACATTTCCGAACAAGATAAAGGAAAATAACAATTAACATAATTCGGAACGGTTTGTGTACTCGTTACATTAAATTAGTAATAATAACCCGAGTAAGCAATTAACAATTTCCACCTATCTCAGTAATGTAATTTGAATTCTGCAATTGTATTGTGGTATACAGTATATTATTGGGCCAAGTAATTAAACTGGGAAACATAAAGTGCGAAATTCCGGTAACGTATGTACGTTATCGTAATATGCCTAATTCGGCAGCCTTCGTTAATTGGTTAAGGGAGGGGGTGCCGTGGGGGTACTTTTTTTTCGTTTCTGTGCCACCTGTCGGGGAGCAAGTTTAATTAATATAGTGGGGAATTGTTCGTTTCATTAACTTTTCCAATAAGCCTTTATCCGTCGCGCTTGGTGCTGGCGTGTTGTGCTCTTCGCGCTTTGGAAAGGAGGTAAGCGCTTGCGGCGGAGCCGAAATTGTTTATACATCAATTTCGAATCCTTTGTGAAGGTAACCCTCATCAGTTCTGCGTGCAAGCTTCATTTATCCGGCTGTTTAGCAACGCAACTTACGTCTCTAAGGCAGCACGTTCTGTGCCCATTAACAAACAAGCTCGTTCGCTCGGCATCAATTATACAAGAGTGTGCTTTCGGAGGTAATTTTGTTAAACAAATCTGTTTCATAATGGTAGAAAATTTTGGTGTGTGATTTTAAGCTTAAATTGCTCTCAAAAGCGGACGCTGAGATTTCAGAGGTGACGTCAGGTTTGTATCAGAGGCGTTAAACGCTCTTTTTGGGTTTCTAACATTTAGAACCTGGAGCACCTAACGGTTTTTAATAGGAAAAGATAACTTTAAGAACTGTTAAATCTATAAAATCACTTAGAGACACTTTGGAGCACTTCGGTACCGTGTTATCACACAATTTCCGCTTTCTAGATCATTAGGGTGTCACACCAAATCATCCTGGACAAGTAGTTCACGTAACCCTGTTTCACTTGTAAGCTCAAATCCTATTTTTACAAATAAAACACACCCCATGGTAATTTTCAGGTGGTTCACTTCACTTCGCTCTCGGCTCAACGCGAATTTGCAAACACAAAGTAAAATCCTCCGTGCAGTAATTTACAGACGTTGGTCTTTGTATCAATGCGAATTTCAATAAACCAACATTAAACACCCTGTGCTAATTTTTTAGTTTTCTGGGGATGTTTGGATCCGTAAAGCTCCAAACCCTCAGTTTCAACCTTAAATGTTGAATCTTAAAGCTTGACCTTTGAATTTTGATCCCGACACTTGTACGTTCAAGGGCATATATTGAAGCACACATTTTGAATGTTGAAACGTGAAACATCAATTTTGGAGCTTGGATGTTAAAGTTTGAACATTTTGAGCTTGAACCTTGAACATTCCATTTAGACCGATTGAGCTTCAAACCTTCAGTTTCAACCTTAAATATTGAATCTTAAAGCCTGACCTTTGAATTTTGATCCCGACACTTGTACGTTCAAGGGCATATAATTGAAGCACACATTTTGAATGTTGAACCATGAAACATGAATTTTGGAGCTTGGATGTTAAAGTTTGAACATTTGAGCTTGAATCCTGAACATTCCATTTGGACCGATTGAGCTTCAAACCTTCAGTTTCAACCTTCAATATTGAATCTTAAAGCCTGGCCTTTGAATTTTGATCCCGACACTTGTACGTTCAAGGGCATATATTGAAGCACACATTTTGAATGTTGAAACATGAAACATGAATTTTGGAGCTTGGATGTTAAAGTTTGAACATTTGAGCTTGAATCTTGAACATTCCATTTGGATCGATTGAGCTTCAAACCTTCAGTTTCAACCTTAAATGTTGAATCTTAAAGCCTGACCTTTGAATTTTGATCCCGACACTTGTACGTTCAAGGGCATATAATTGAAGCACACATTTTGAATGTTGAACTATGAAACATGAATTTTGGAGCTTGGATGTTAAAGTTTGAACATTTGAGCTTGAATCTTGAACATTCCATTTGGATTGATTGAGCTTGAAACCTTCACATTCAACCTTATATATTGAATCTTAAAGGCTGACCTTTGAATTTTGATCCCGACATTTGTACGTTCAAGGGCATATATTGAAGCACACATTTTGAATGTTGAAACATGAAACATGAATTTTGGAGCTTGGATGTTTGAACATTTGAGCTTGAATCTTGAACATTCCATTTGGATCGATTGAGCTTCAAACGTTCAGTTTCAACCTTAAATGTTGAATCTTAAAGCTTGACCTTTGAATTTTGATCCCGACACTTGTACGTTCAAGGGCATATATTGAAGCACACATTTTGAATGTTGAAACGTGAAACATCAATTTTGGAGCTTGGATGTTAAAGTTTGAACATTTGAGCTTGAATCTTGAACATTCCATTTAGACCGATTGAGCTTCAAACCTTCAGTTTCAACCTTAAATATTGAATCTTAAAGCCTGACCTTTGAATTTTGATCCCGACACTTGTACGTTCAAGGGCATATAATTGAAGCACACATTTTGAATGTTGAACCATGAAACATCAATTTTGGAGCTTGGATGTTAAAGTTTGAACATTTGAGCTTGAATCTTGAACATTCCATTTGGATCGATTGAGCTTCAAACCTTCAGTTTCAACCTTCAATATTGAATCTTAAAGCCTGACCTTTGAATTTTGATCCCGACACTTGTACGTTCAAGGGCATATAATTGAAGCACACATTTTGAATGTTGAAACATGAAACATGAATTTTGGAGCTTGCATGTTAAAGTTTGACCATTTGAGCTTGAATCTTGAACATTCCATTTGGATTGATTGAGCTTCAAACCTTCAGTTTCAACCTTCAATATTGAATCTTAAAGCCTGACCTTTGAATTTTGATCCCGACACTTGTACGTTCAAGGGCATATCTTGAAGCACACATTTTGAATGTTGAACCATGAACCATCAATTTTGGAGCTTGGATGTTATAGTTTGAACATTTGAGCTTGAATCTTGAACATTCCTTTGGATCGATTGAGCTTCAAACCTTCAGTTTCAACCTTCAATATTGAATCTTAAAGACTGACCTTTGAATTTTGATCCCGACACTTGTACGTTCAAGGGCATATAATTGAAGCACACATTTTGAATGTTGAACCATGAAACATGAATTTTGGAGCTTGGATGTTAAAGTTTGAACATTTGAGCTTGAATCTTGAACATTCCATTTGGATTGATTGAGCTTCAAACCTTCAGTTTCAACCTTCAATATTGAATCTTAAAGCCTGACCTTTGAATTTTGATCCCGACACTTGTACGTTCAAGGGCATATATTGAAGCACACATTTTGAATGTTGAAACATGAAACATGAATTTTGGAGCTTGCATGTTAAGGTTTGAACATTTGAGCTTGAATCTTGAACATTCCATTAGTTCTGCCTTGGTCATGCAGTCCTGGGCGCTAGCTGTTCCACCCTGACTTAGATTTAGTAACCCTTACTGTCATTCGCCAACCTCAGAGTTCCGTTAGGAGTGTTGATAGGGTTTCCAGTTTTCATTTACTGTGGTGTAATCTATTTCCTCTTTTTCCCGGGTATTGTCCTCCATTCTGTCGTTGAGCTGAGGGATATGAAGAATCTGAGGGATCCGAGGGATATAAAGGACCCGAAAGATCTGAAAGAACCGAGTGATCTGAAAGTTGCGACGGATCTGAAGGAATCGTGCGATCTGAAGGATTCAAGGCATCTGAAAGATGCGATGGACCTGAAGGATCTGTAGGATCCGAAGGGTCTGAATCGTTTCCCTTTCCTTGCCAAAGTTAGATTATCTCAAAATAACAGTTTGTTATACCACTGAATGGTTCGTGGTCATAGTCAAAAAACAATACCAGCTATCTCCCTAATGGTTTTCTGGATCCAAACCTTCTTTTTCGGATTGAATACAACACGAAAGATTAGAATTGAGCTCAACATTCTCAGTTATATGAAATCCTGTCTAAAACAATTAATCTTTGTCTTTAATCTACTTCGTTTCCTGAAATGAATTTGAAAGTTAAATTACAATATGTTTGCTAAAAAGCAACTTACCCCTCACTGTTCGAGTCAATCAGCTGTAACGAGGTCGTAAGGGTAGGATGAAGTATCCCGTTTTTGTCATCCACCGAGATTAATTTAAGAAAATTAATTACTTAGGATTATTTCTTCCGAAAGGATAGGACATATAAGGTGAGCGGCGCACATACAGCTCATTAGGGGAACAAGCGAAATTTTGTTGTTATTAAATTTGCGCGTCTCGTGCGAAATTGGAAAATTTGAATGCGAAATGAAAAGTTACGCGCATGTTTCAAGTAGAAAAACGAGTACACGCAATAAATTTTTAACAATAAAACATAATAACCCTACTTATTTTTACGGTGGAGCAGTTTCAGAGGGGTGTGAGAGGGGTCCGGCCTCATGAAAATTGGCCCTTATCTGATATTGTAGTAGCGGCGCGCTCGGGCTTTATTATAATCCATGAACCGGAAATGAAATTTGTGGCTCGAATAATTCGACTAGAAATGCGAACACATGGCTCTGATACTGAACACTGAACAATCTAATATACAAAGAAGAATTTATTACAACTTTAAATAAAATATGGGTTTCCCAAAAAACGCTCTGATTTTCTTCGCCTCCCTTTACGCGCCTACGTGTGACAGAAATTGGAAATTTCTGATACAAACCGCGACTGAAGTTATGGCACTTCGGTCAAGCACATTAAAATTTATGCGATTCGTTCACGTGAAGTTTAATGAACGTTTTTATTAGCCGCTCTATCAATAATTGCCCCCGTTTTTTTCCACCAAAATTAACCGCATCTGCACAACAGACAGCTGCTCCAAGTGTATCAGTTTATAAATCTGTTGATATGAGGCTGTTTGTTTGTTTCCTTGGGACACTCACGGACGTTACTAATGTTAATTTTAAATTTAATTATCCGCAAATATATTACAACATTGGTGCGCTTCCCACAATACGACCATGTCAAATGCGTCTGATTCTACTAAATCCTCATCGTTTTCTTCTCCTTCTGCTACTAAGTGTATGACTTCTACTTTGTTTTAATCAAATAGCGATGTTAGAAAGACACCTCAACTAACCGTATTTAATGACTCTCTTATAAACTCACTTATACATTACGAAATTTTTATTTTCTGATTAACCTGGGCCCAGTAGTTTCAACATTTCTTGAAACTAGCTTGGCATTTGTGAAGGATTTCAATTTTTCTCTCCTAGCGAGCTCCGAAGGTTTTAGTATTCTCAAAATCTCCGGTTTTTTTTTAAACTCATGAAATCTAAAGTATAAACCGGCGTGAGATTTGAAACATTTTGTGTGCGAAAGTGATAGAAAATTAAACAAAGCGCCCTTCCAAAAATAGAAGCGGGTAATTAATGTGGAAGGACGTTAATGATTATCGATGACGGTGGCACGCCGAGTTAAATTCGAAATTCCGAACGTTCTCCGATTATTAACAATGAAGTAAGTGACGTTTATAGTTTTATTAACCGTTTTATTACTTTCTAAACTTTCGACTGAAATATTATTATAGTTATCCGCGCGCATTAGTTGGTAACCAATAAATTACTCATAATTTTATGTTCGAAGTGATTGGGAGTTTGCCAAGTTTTAGCATAAACCCTATTTAGTGGCGGGGGGGGGGGGGGGAGGGTGTTATAAAATGTAGTCTATTTGATTCCGCAAAGATAACCGAGTTAAGATTTTACAAGGAGTTCGGTTGTTTTAAAGTGGTGCGAATCTTCGAACGGCACCGCCGCTGTTTTATTTCGACTTTAAAATGCAAATTGAATTTTGTGCAACTCATTGAATCCGAGTCGACCCTTTTATTTCGCGAGGATTGGGCGTCTTAAATATTTAGATAAAAGATTGACGCGAACGGGCGGGGTGGTAACATAATTTCAAAACCTTTGTACGGATTTGCCCTTATCTCGTTTCCGAGCTCTACATCCACCTAACAAAATAGCATCGTAATACGACGGCTGTAGACGTTCTTAGAGATGCTAAAGGGCTCCCAGACAAAGTAAAGATTTATCCCGAGGCCTTCTGTGTCCATGAAGGGCACAAACACACGCGTCGCCCGAAGGCGTGTATTTACAACGAAAAAAGATGGATCGCATTCACTTCAATGTAAAATGAAAGTTAAAAAGGGCACAAAACAGAAAGGCACATAGCGACTGATTAAATATTACCTAGGTCTAATTTCCCAAACCGCCACATCAGCCCTAGGAGCGTTTTGTCTTCGGCTTACCTCCTACATTTTTGATATAGAAAAAATAATGACGTACGTGCCTTTGCTTTTCGTAAATAAAAACGAGATTGGAATTGGGAATACTTCTCATGTATGAAATTTTGTAAACGGATTTGCAACTTGGAAATCTGATGAAAATTTTAAGCGTAGTCTAGATAGGATCAAATTTCGATAGCCCGCAATCATACGGAAACGATTTGGAATCAAAAATAGGACACAGTCTAATCGTAGAACGAAACTTTGCAATTGTCTGGGACGTGGCTAAGATCTAAGTTATAATGTGAGACGGGGAGAAACACTAAATCAAAGACTAAGTATTTAATTCTTGAAACTTTGAAATTCGTCTGAATGTCCCAAGTTCTTTGGACACTAAGAGCATTAGGTTTTCGGGTGTCACCATTTTACTAACTCTTTATCTTTGTTAGTATAAAAACGAGGCAAAATTGGGCTTCGCCGTGATCGTTAAAATCGCTTCATCTCATTAGAAAGTATTGGTGAAAAACCGTATTGCAATGAAAAACCCCACAACAAACGCTAAATCTTTTGCTAAACTGGTACGATTTTAATTTTTTTGGGCTTTTTTGGATTCAACAGGTCAAAATCTAAAGGAATTGCTGATATACGTTAAGATCGCTTCAGCTCATGAGCAAATATTGGTGAAAAATCGTATTGCAATGAAAAAAACCCACAACAAACGCTAAATCTTTTGCTACACTGGAACGATTTACATTTTTTTGGGCTTTTTTGGATTTTACAGGTAAAATCTAAAAGAATTGCTGATATACGTTAATATCGCGTCGGTTCATGAGAAAATATTGGTGAAAAATCGTATTGCAATGAAAAAAACCCACAACAAACGCTAAATCTTTTGCTAGACTAGTACGATTTTCATTTTTTGGGCTTTTTTGGATTCTACAGGTCAAAATCTAATAGAATTGCTGATATACGTTAAGATCGCTTCGGCTCATGAGAAAATATTGGTGAAAAACCGTATTGCAATGAAAAAACCCACAACAAACGCTAAATCTTCTGCTAGACTGGTACGATTTTCATTTTTTTGGGCTTTTTTGGATTCTACAGGTCAAAATCTAAAGGAATTGCTGATATACGTTAAGATCGCTTCGGCTCATGAGAAAATATTTGTGAAAAACCGTATTGCAATGAAGAAACCCCACAACAAACGCTAAATCTTTTGCTAGACTGGAACGATTTACATTTTTTTGGGCTTTTTTGGATTTTACAGGTAAAATCTAAAAGAATTGCTGATATACGTTAATATCGCTTCGGTTCATGAGAAAATATTGGTGAAAAACCGTATTGCAATGAAAAACCCCCACAACAAACGGTAAATCCTTTGCTAGACTAGTACGATTTTCATTTTTTGGGCTTTTTTGAATTCTACAGGTCAAGATCTAACAGAATTGCTGATATACATTAAGATCGCTTCGGCTCATGAGAAAATATTGGTGAAAAACCGTATTGCAATGAAAAACCCCACAACAAACGCTAAATCTTCTGCTAGACTGGTACGATTTTCATTTTTTTGGGCTTTTTTGGATTCTACAGGTCAAAATCTAAAGGAATTGCTGATATACGTTAAGATCGCTTCGGCTCATGAGAAAATATTTGTGAAAAACCGTATTGCAATGAAGAAACCCCACAACAAACGCTAAATCTTTTGCTAGACTAGGAACGATTTACATTTTATTGGGCTTTTTTGGATTTTACAGGTAAAATCTAAAAGAATTGCTGATATACGTTAAGATCGCTTCGGCTCATGAGAAAATATTGGTGAAAAACCGTATTGCAATGAAAAAACCCACAACAAACGCTAAATCTTTTGCTAGACTAGTACGATTTTCATTTTTTTGGGCTTTTTTGGATTCTACAGGTCAAAATCTAAAAGAATTGCTGATATACGTTAAGATCGCTTCGGCTGATGAGAAAATATTGGTGAAAAACCGTATTGCAATGAAAAAACCCACAACAAACGCTAAATCTTTTGCTAGACTAGTACGGTTTTCATTTTTTGGGCTTTTTTGGATTCTTCAGGTCAAAATCTAGAAGAATTGCTGATATACGTTAAGATCGCTTCGGTTCATGAGAAAATATTGGTGAAAAATCGTATTGCAATGAAAAAACCCACAACAAACGCTAAATCTTTCGCTAGACTAGTACGATTTTCATTTTTTTGGGCTTTTTTGGATTCTACAGGTCAAAATCTAAAAGAATTGCTGATATACGTTAAGATCGCTTCGGCTCATGAGAAAATATTGGTGAAAAACCGTATTGCAATGAAAAAAAAACCCACAACAAACGCTAAATCTTTTGATAGACTAGTACGATTTTCATTTTTTTGGGCTTTTTTGGATTCTACAGGTCAAAATCTAAAAGAATTATATACGTTATCGCTTCGGTTCATGAGAAAATATTGGTGAAAAACCGTATTGCAATGAAAAACCCCCACAACAAA